ATAAATGACATCGAAACGGCCCCATTTCGCAAGTACTCGTTAATCGATAAGTAATAGAAAACTTTCACCTCTATTTTTAACCAGGGTTGCCACTATAAAACAAATACTTGCCATCCACTTCTAAAAAGTCTACCAAATCTGGAAATTATCTACCAATAAAAATTAAAATTGTGTATTAGGAACTTTTTATTTAACTAATGATGTGATTTTTGATATAAAATTAATTAGGATCGATACCAAAAGTACTCAGAATTCGAGTCTCGCAAGGCTCGACCGCACTCGATTTTTAAAAGTATCGATGCTGAGTACTCCAAAGAACTCGAAAGTAGTCAGTACTCAAAAATACTCTGTTCTCAGGAACGATTCAATGTACTCAGTATAAGTGTCGAATAGATACTTAAAAGTACGGTGTTTTATTTACATTTACCGGTATTCAGAAATGATTGTACTCAATGTGAAATTTCAGTAGTTTTCAACTACAATACNATTCAATGTACTCAGTATAAGTGTCGAATAGATACTTAAAAGTACGGTGTTTTATTTACATTTACCGGTATTCAGAAATGATTGTACTCAATGTGAAATTTCAGTAGTTTTCAACTACAATACTAATTTGAATAAAGTGCTGCCAGCTTGTGAGATTTCTACACTAAGCATTGAAATGTTAACAACAAGTGTATTTTTAAATATAGTACTTCGTACTCTCAAAAATAATCGATCTTTAAAAGTATCGATACCAAAGAACTTGATCCTCAAAAGTACTCAATACTTCCCAACAGTACTTTATACAAACAAAATATTGAGCGAAGGGAGAACTCAAAACTTTCAAAGCGTTCATTGTAGCGTACTTTCTACCATTATACAAAAACAGAAAGTAGTTTTATTTATTAACATTCGTTGTTGTCGGCACTTGACTTTGAAAAATTTTATGACATTTAACTAAAATCATGCGCATTTCCAAACTGCAAGAATTCTATACACCTGTTCAAAGGTTCAAAAATAAAGTTTTTGCTTTTCCGAAGATTGAGTACGAAATACGATCTAATGCAGTTTGATGACAAACTGCTGACGCAAAATATTTTTAAATCTCGGAAAGACGTAGCTTTACTCGTGGATGAGGAAGGAGATCGAATTAAAATAATGCCGTGCAACTTGTAAGGTTTTGAACTCTCGTATAAAGATGTAGTGCTGCTATAAAATATATATACATAAATATTTACAAAAATACTGCTGATGGCCTAACATGAGTTTAATTTTTCTTTGCGAATATTCTAATTTTATCCCATTATGAAATGGGCCCCCGAGTGCGAAGGGACTTAAAGTTTATACTGTGCTCTTTCTAATGAGTTTTATGTGAGATACCACTTCCCCCTCCGTTCCACACCAAGAAATCATTGTACAAATAACCGAAAATTTCCCTCGCACAACATTAAATCCTCTAATGTATTATTCGATTGCCATCAATGTGGGTAGGTAACTCATAATTTTTTACAATTTATGAAACTGCAGAAACTTTAAAATGAAACTACCTTCTTTTTGCATCATACTTTCTACACTTCTCGCTATCACGTCAAGTCTTGCTTTCAAGTCTGCTCGGTTCGTTGGCGAAGGTGGTAAGAAGAGAGGGGAAAAGTACATTCTGAAAGGGGTCCTAAAGTTCGTACTGTCAAGCTAAGCAAGAAAAGTCGTATATAAACGGCCTTTAATGTTCAATCTGCGCCGATTAAATATGGTTGAAAATAATCGATTACATCCTTAAATCTCTATGTGCAACACAAAAACACTAGTTAATTGCGTTTATAAAACAAAAAATTAATTTTGCTATGAAGGTGTTTACAGAAACCTAAAAAAAATATGTCGGATTTTGATGAAGTCGGTGCTAATGCCGAAAGTGATTTGCCTGTTTTGCTCGCAAATTTGAAAAAGGCATGTGGACTTTGGTTCCATAATGGCTTTGCAGTTTCCGAGAAACTAGCTGGTGAAAAAACAAATTCATCCTATGACAACATAACAACAACCACGGTGGAGATATTGCGTCATGGATTGCGCTTAACTCCGGAAGATGCTGTGATGGTGAGTTGTAACATCGAGTTCAATGGAATGCTGGAAATGTTTCATAAACAAACAATGAGATATTTTCAACCATTAGTGTTTGGGGCGTAGTAATATTGAACTACCCTTCAAAAATGTATGTACGGACTATTTGTACGTAATCGAGAGTGGCTCCAAGTAAAATATAGATCTTTTCTATATAAATATGTATGTACATGCATACATAGTATGTATGTACAAGGTTTATAAACCTTGGAATAAACATATACATATACATACAAATATACACAACCGACTATTATCCATCAAATAGTATTTGCAATTTAATTTTTATATATAATACATATTTTTATTACACTTTAAGCCAAAGAATTTCTCGCCCGCTGACTTGCCTAGAGAAAAAGATTCCTTATATAAATTAGATGGCTTGAAAAAACTGATGGATGATTTTGAGTGGGTTTGCCGATCAGCACAGATTCGTGATTCCCTGCCAACGGATTTCTCGGAACTATCTGCTTTGTCAAATAAAAAGCATCAGCAAGATTCATTATTTACTGTACAAGATTATAAATGGTTTTTTGATTCTTGGGTACGACGTAATCTTAAGGCAAATTGTTTGAGTGTTTGTCTTCAGTTGCTAGTAGCAGAAAACGAACTATTGAATGCATATTACAAAGAAAATGCTTTCCTGCGAAATGAAGTGTACTCAACAGCGCTTATCATTTGTTTGTCGGCTGTGGAATTAAATCAATACAGCTTGTTGAGCCAAATTGAAACACAGCTTTATAGTGTTACATCCTCCATAGCTGCCGTTTCTGCCTTACCAGGTTTGAAACACAGACGTACTACATCACACTCTGTATTCTCTATTTCGCCGCCTAAGCACACAAAGGTTTGCGAAACAGACGTAATGAACGAGCCGCAATTTAATATAGAAAATAAAGACGACATAACGACAACCCAAAAGGTAATTAAATTACAAAATATAGGTATACATATGTTACATATGGGCATATCCACCAAAAGCGCAAAATTAAAACTGGTGATTTTTTTTAACTTAACAATAAGGCGTAAATTTGTATTTCTTATAAATATAAAAGCATTTTTAATTTTTCCAAATTTGGGCTAAAACATATATGTAGTAGGCACCTTTAAAAAAAGATGTTGTTTTCTAAGCCTTTGGCTAGTAATATTAACAGTTTCCTTTGCGTTTTTCGCCAATGTTTTTTTAAATAAAATTCATGAAATCGGCTTAAAAAATTATTTATTTAAAAAATGAGATCTTGTTTTAAATTAGTTTTTAAAACCAAACACGAATTCATTTCAGGGTAATAATAAATAACACCAATCACCAATCACCAATGATAGTGACATGCAAAAAATTTTCTTTAAAAATATTCACACTTTTAAAAAATATTTGTATTATGTAACATATTTCCCAATAGGGTCGCGCAATTAATACATTTATTATTCTACCATTTTTTCAAAGTATTGTTATTATAACTCATATTAATTATTATAACTCATATTAATTGATTAATCGCATAATCCACTTTTAAGCGCACTGCGCTAAAAATAAAATATATAACAGAGTAAGATCAGCTTTTGCCACAAATGAAATTGCAAATTTCACATTCAGCGGGAGTTGTCACAAACATCCATAACTCTACGAACCAAAGACATTCTTTGGCCTTCACTTCCACATTCAAAGAAAAAAAAA